GGGGGGGCCGCACCGGGGGAGGGGGGGCATCCATCTGGATGATGCAATATGCACCTTTTAAGTTTGTGCTAATTGTTTTTCACATGGGCTGCTCATTCTGTTGCCAGGGAAATGAGCTATATAGGAGAGTTAGGAGCAAGAAAGACTCTCTACTCTCTCCTAGCTCCCACATCCACATAGGGCAAAAGCATAATCACTGGGCGCAGCAGTAAAATGTAAGTACACAATGCAAAAGAAGCTTCAGCCTTCCAAACTATCTATGTCCTTAGAACCTCCACTTATTTATATTCATTTTTTGGGAGAAAGGGCAGTAACCAGGAATGAGACTTTTCCAGCGCGTAAAATTTTAAACAAAAATTGATGCACTTATTGATTAGTTCGATGATGGACTCATTAGATTTTGGAGCATTCCCTCACAATTACCAGGTTGTTGACTTCACTTTGGCCAATCAACTGAGTGATAAATTCCCGCTTGTTTTACTTAATATCGGTCAACTTTAAGTGCCACCACAATAAAATCATGGACCAAGTATCTCCAGGTGGCTACTGATGAAGCCAAGTATACAGCAATATTTGAGAAATCAGCTTAAGTGATTCTATATACCAGGCCAGAGCTTCTTGCTGATTGCTTAAACTGGTATTCCACTTATAGAACACTGAGATCATTACCAGCTGACTACATGGATGCCTTAGAAGGTGTTTGAGAGGACTTCTGTAGCTTATAAGCTATGCCACTATTTGGCGGCTTTTGGCTTTTACGATAAAAATTCTATTAAAACTGCATGGATAGAATAGTCATTTGCTTGGTCAAACATAGCTTAAGAACACGTTTGGCAAACGGTCAAAGTGGCATATAAGCCAATTTTGTGGCTTATAAGTCACTTTGAGATGTTTGGCAAGTAGCTTATTTTGAATTATAATCCATTAAAAGAATAAGCTAGGGCTTATTTTCTGAAGCTTATAACCTATGCCACAACTTGGCAGCTTTTGGCTTTTATGATAAAAATTCTATAAAAACTGCATGGATAGAATAGTCATTTGCTAGGTCAAACATAGCTTAAAAGCACGTTTGGCAAATGGTCAAACTGACGTATAAATCAATTTTGTGGCTTATAAGCCACTTTGAGATGTTTGGCAAGTAGTTTATTTTGAATTATAATCCACTAAAAGAATAAGCTAGGGTACCCTAACCGAATAAGCTAGGGTACCCTAACTTATTTTTTTAGTGGATTATAAGCCATGAATTTTGACTAAAGACAGGAAGAAAATACTCTACTATTAAAAGTTCCCAAACATGCTCTTCGATGATGATATAAGCTAGTTTATCAAAGTTGGGGAAACCCAACTTTTTCAAAGGGACTCAAAAGCTATAGCTTATTGGTGTCTTACCAAACACATAGATATGGAAAGTTAGCTTAGAAGTTGTTTTGACCAAAAATAAGCTCCCCACAAACACCCTCTTACGCATTACAGCTTACAAATCTCCATAAGACTCGCATACTTCACTCTAATAAGCTCTTTTTTACCCATCAAGAGTCTGAGGTGGTGACCGCAAATGTACATTTATAACATAGTTGTTACATTTTAGAATGCTGTACTCAAATACATTGCCACATGGTGTACTCTAGACACAGTTTGGCACTTCAACTAATAAATAAAATAAAGGGTTATTAGTTTATTCTATTAGCCAGGGAACACATATCATCTCACAAATTAGTTTGTAGAAACAGAATTAAGAAAATCAGTCTGACAAATAATTGAAGAAACACTAGAACATAAATTTTGATGGTGTCACACTTTAACCATTAGGGGAACTAACCTTTTTGTCAATGCTTATTGCTTCGTTGCAATCAGCTTCAGCTTGAAGGTAACTGAATCATACAAAATGAAATCAGAATATATGCAGAGAACAATTAATGAAGCCAAAGGTTGAACAAAAAATTTGGAAAAGTACCCTCCCAGCTCCAAATAAGCAGCAGCCCTATTACTGTAGTATGTGGCGTTCTTGTCATTCAGTTTTATGGCTTCAGTATATAGATTAATTGCTTTCTGCCACTGTTTCTCTTTGTAAGCTATGTTTCCCTGTAAAAGGCCAAGTACTGAAATCAGGAATATTATATCACATATCAGATAAGGATTCAAAAGAGATTAAGGTGAATCAATGATGCACCTGTCAAAACATCTAGAGGAAGATATGATGGGAAAATGATAAAAAAAAATTCAAAAAACATCCTCAAAGTACATTTAATAAAAATCATGATTATGCTCAGACTATGTGCAAACAATATGCTCCACCAACACTCAAATAAATTAATCTAAACTCGACCCCAGTATGTGCCAACATGAAATAAAAGTTCATTAAATCAATTCAAATTCTAAGAATTAATGCTCATGAAATTTTAACTTCATTAGCTCAAGATCTTCCAAGCCTAAATAGCCCCGCTATTGAAGGAAAAAAGAAGCACCCAGCTGCAACCCTTTACCATCACATATACATGGAGATCTCGCAGGTATGACCAAATATATAAATAAATAAATAAATAAATAAAAGAAGAAGAAGAAGAAAGAAAACAACCAAACTCCATGCAGTCGGAGAACTCAGCAATATAATGGATGGTGAAAGAATATAGCAATTACTGGCAGAAAAGAAATAGAAGAACTGCCAAATAAGTTTAGACTTAAATATGTGAAAAAGAACTGACTTAAATATGTGAGGGAAAAAACTGACCTTCTCTTTTGCAGTTTCTGCAGATTCTTCTTTGCTGATGCTACCATTTGAAATGTTGGATTTCATGGCGATATCTGCCTGTTCCTGAAGTGATGGATATATGGCATGGACAGTATCTAATAAGAAGTGATCACGTCCTTGCCTTGCAATAAATGACACAGAAACAGGAAGCTTTTCATGTACACCTAAGGGAATGGTCACCTGCAAAAGGTTTATATCTTATAAACAGGAGATTTTGCAAATAATACAACTCTTTACAGTCCGATTGAGCCGCTGATGCACTGGAAGACAACAATATAAAAAAAAAGTCAAGTTGCCAAACAATATTTCAATACCTGACAGCAACCTGACATGCTTGCAATAGCTGATAAACATAAAGTTTTCGTCTGGTAATCTGCGGACAGAATTTCCTTTCCATTAAGTTTTGGAGGAGGTCCTAAGACTGTTGGGAGGACAAGAATTCCATCGTCCTACAAGTAGCCCACAAGAAATAAGTACTGGTTAGATCATGAGGATTTAGAGTTTAATACAAATAAGATCTTTCTACTAAAAACTTAAAGCATAAGATTTTTTTAATTCAGATATTGAAAAAAATTTACTTGCTTTTAATATATTTGTGCTGGACCATCATGTACAACTCAAGTGGTCAACAATTTTGGTGCTTATTACAGTTGCACTGAACCGATACAAAGACCTTAAATCTTTTTTGTAGCAAGAAAAACCTTCAATGTACCATTCTGCTACATTTTATTATTCTAAATTACCTTCAATTTACTTTCTCTTAGAAGTAAAGGGACAGTGTATAATTGAAGTTCAGTTTCTAATGCTTATAGTTAGTAAAATGGGTAAATTTAAGGAATAAGTAGAGAAAAGCCCAGAAAGCATCCATATATATCCGAGAAGTGCCACGATTGATATCTTTGAAATAGGGATCCTGCTAAATTTCTACATACTTTTAAGTTATTTCCCATCAAAATGGAGAACAAGGTTCCTCCAAAGATTTGACAAAATTTTAGGGCCAACTGTCAACCAAACATTCACACTCTCCATAGGAAAAGAAAGGGGCTAGCCACAAATTAAAAAAAAAAGAGCCAGCTTCAGCTACCAAAGAACCTTGTAAATTCCCCATAAAAAAGGATGGTAAATGATAGCGTTGCTATAGCACATTGCATTCAACTCAAGGCATATAATAAGTAGAGGAGCAAAACTACAAAATACCTTTTGAATTAGGTTCAAACAGTGTTTTAAATGTCAGCTGTCATGACAGACATGTCGACCGATATGCCGGATTTAGAGACCAACTGAAACGATATGAAACTTTTCAATGTGTATTGCATTTTCAGGGTTCATGTCACATATATCGCGGGACATGTCGGATATGTTGGCCAGATATATCGGGGGGCATGTCGCTATGTCAGCCGCTTGTTCGGTTTGAAAAATTAGTTGGTTTTTATAGTTATGTTTATCTAATTAGGTTTGGGTTTAAATTTCTGATTGAATTAATATTGCTTCCAAAGACAAAACCCGATCAATTAGGGGGTAAAAGGACCGAAGTCATTTCCGTCACTCCTCTTATCTCTCTCATTCAACATCTCATCGGTCTATTCTTCGAGTTATTTCTTCGACATCAATATCGGGCAATCTTCTCTCTCCTTAACTACCAACATCGGGCTTATCTTTTCTCATATCTTTCCTTCAACAGCAACCCTAAGCATCATAAGTTATTTACTTATTTATATATTTGAACAATAGAATTTATTAAGTATGTTTGGATTCCATTTATGATATTATATTACATATATGCACACCATCCGATATCGCAATCCGATATTTTTTTTCATGTCCCCACACATATCCCCGATTTCCGCTATCCGACATGAATTTTAGCCGTCTAACATGAACCCGACATTTAAAACCTTGGGTTCAAAACCAGTGCATCCAATTAAAAACCAAACCACATATAAAGCAAATGATCCAAATTACATAAATTCTCAAAATCTCCTAGGCCGTTTTGTTTTCTTTTCTAATTTCATGCAATCATTGGACTAAACTAACTCTTCTTTGTTAATTACAACATGCATCTCATTGTATCTTTAAAGATCTGCAAATCTGTGTACAGTTAAGCAAGAACAATACCCAAATGAATAGCCATCCCCTTGCATATGGACTCTTCACCTAATCTAGGCACTTGAGCAGGCAGATTAAGCACATAGATGGAGGTTCAAGCAGAACAAGAAAGTAACTATAGGCATGATCTGTAATCATTTATAGATACCACTGCTTATTTGGCATATAAGGTTAACTGCTTTTTATGTTGCATCAGAAAATATCCAGAAGAAACCAAAACATATATTTCCTAACAGCCATGCAACTATAGAACAATCAATTACCCAAAAGAGAATGTTGCTTTGGAAGTTCTTTTCCCCATCTGTCTCGAGACTAATACAGGTATATAGCAAATCTATTGTCTTCAAGACCCTTTAGACTGCCCCCCCCCCCCCCGATTATCAGTGGTTTGGTGAGGCTCTGGTTGGTCACAAGAGCTTAAACTACATTAATAAGGGTGGTTGCCCTAAACATCACCTGCTTACTTGTACTAAATGGGACTACTGTTGTCATGAGGTTGAATTGCCTGCTAAGGTCTATTATCGGCCACAAGCAATGCTCTTCTCCATAGTTTCATTGGCAGGAATTTGGTACAAAAAGACGAGCATTGATGTCACTGCCAAAACAGGTCATAAATATTTTTCATAGATTTGACAAAAAAATGCATTAAATGACCTAGATGATTTTAATGTATGCATCGTAAAGAACTAATAGGTTTAGAAATAAGTGCTACTTAATGTATGTTTTATTTCTGCTGGTTCGGATGTCCAAATAATATAGAACAAATTCCAGTTTGCTTAAACTTAAAATGCAACTTGTATGTCAAGTATTTAACAGAAGAGAAGTCATTTGGAAAATAATATCCCTTGGCAGATTATATTCGTCAGTGTGTTTCAGAATGCTTGCTTAACATATTCGTGAATCTCAAACAAGCCTAATCCAAGCTGCTAAATTTCTACATAGTTCATATAAAGGATTTATGTTCATTCCTTGACCATGAAGGCCAATTACTAGCTAACATATTACATAAATATGTAAAATAAATTATGTGCGTAGTCCTTTCTATGTGAAATAGGGTAATTATTATGAAACCCCGTTCAAGTTTGGCCACTTATTAGGAAACCCCCTCACATTATTTTTTTTATTACAAAACCCCCTCCCGTTAACTAATCTGTTAAGATCCATTTAAAATAGCATGTGCAAGTCACATGCATTATTGTATTCCAAAGTTACCCTCTTCTTCTTCCTCTTGATGACAGAAGTACTCAATTCATTCTAGCTTCCCTTTCTCTTCTCTTCATATATCACTTCCTCTCTCTGACAATCAAAATTTAAATGGGATGTGCTCGAGTTCAATGAAGAAAGAAACAGAGTATATACTATTGAAACATTGTTTCTATTTGCGCGTTGGTGCCCTCTCATAGAAGTTTATGGTTGTTGATGCAGATAGAGCTTTCATTTTTCCCCCATGGAAAAAGTTCAGCTCAAAGGTTTTAGGATGCTCATGGTGCTATGACCACAAGGCTTGAGGGTAATCCAAATGTGGTACAAGTCTATTATCAGACATCGAAGGATGAGCTTAATCATATTATGATTAATGGGTTTTCTGGTTTGCGAGATGCATAATGACAAGTCTATTATCAGGCATCTTTACTTGAAGCTCAAGACTTTGCTAGAGACATTCAAGGGTTTCATTTAGAATATTCACTTTTAAGTGAAATGAGAGAAATAACACATAATGAAAAGAGAGAAAATGAAACTATACCAAGAAAGGAAGAAGAAGAAGGTAGTTTGAGATATAACAACGCATGTGACTTGCATGTGATGTTTTAACTGATTCTTACCAGTCTAGTTAACAGGAAGGGGTTTTGTAATCAAAAAAATAAAGTTAGGGGGTTTCCTAATACGTGGGCAAACATGAAGGGGGTTTCATAATAATTACCCTATGAAATAATCACAGGAACGCAACAAACTGAACAAAGACATAGTACAATCACTAAAAGAGAATGTGACACACTTGGATTGTACTCCATCGCCAAAAATAATAATGTTGAGTATTATATAAATCCATGTTCAAATATTTGGAGAAACCTGAGCAACAAACAAAATAAAAAAGGGAGTTGTAAGCTTACAAGATTACAGCCATAAACCCAGGTTCATTTCAGGGTAACTAGCCACATCCATTGAAGGTCAGCATATAGGAAATAAACAAACAAGTTGAAAGATCACGGCTTGAGCAAAGCATACATACAGGACTTAAATAAAGAGAGCCATAACCCACTCATTCTGAAGAGGTTGAAGTTGGATGACAATAGAGTCTACCTAACAGCTACTAATTAAACACCAAGATTATATTGTAAACTAGGAAATCCCTAGTAAAATTGTACAAAAATGATCAAGATATAAATGTTAAGCAATAAATTTTCGCCACTGCTTACAAATAGGAATAAGAGAAAGGCTAATAAATACCTTCAAAAGGGAATTGAGAGCAGTGTGTGTTTCATTTCTTGCAGAGTGGCAGTAGGCCATATGCTCATTAGTAGCTTCAGATGAGTCCCTTGCAAGTGCTAATACGTAAGGATCTACTGAAACATTACCAGAGCTGATCCACTCCTCGTGATTATGCTTAAACTCGCGGCTGTAAAAATTGAAAGGAATGGTCACAAAGATTAAACTACAAGAAATCAAGAAGACAAATACAGGAGCTATCTTATTGTATCCGGAACATGGCCCAAATTTTTGTATTAAGTATTCAGAAAGTAGTAGAAAATATATTATATGGAAACAGCTGAAGCCTAGATCAACAATAGCAAGATATAACTGATTGAAAAAAACACTTTCGGAGTTTCGGTCAGATTTTAAACCTTGTCTGCATATTTATTATATTGGTTCCAGTGAAGAAATCTGATCCATTTTAAACACGGCAATGTTGCAAACTTCCACACATCCTGAGTACTGTGCTCTTTTACTTTAACATTGCAGTATTCATTTGCAAGCGGGTAACCATTTGGCCATTCAATAGCCAATATGGAATGACAGTAGTAGGTGACAACTGATTCGGTTTTCATTTTCATTCATAACAATACTTTAACACAAGCTATGTTATAAGTTAGAACTTAAAACTTCAACAGACTAAAAAGTAAAATTGTAGATTTTGAAAAGAAAAGAAAACCACAAAAAATATACCCGTATCCACTATAAGATAATAACTAAATCAATATTTACAACTAAAATTTTCTACAAAAATTGTTTACAAATAAAAGGTACATGAAAAGAGCCAATCATACCAAAAGCAAGCATTAATGAAAATTACTGGAAGCACGGGCTATACCAAACCCACAAGGCTTATCAACAATTCCAGAAAGAACTCACTTGTTAAGAGCTAGCATTGCATTTGCAAGTTGCGCTAACAAAGAAATTCTTTGATCACCATTCAATTCTCCATTTTGAATTTCTTTTAAGCTGGCAGCTTTCGAGCGCAGATAGTCTCCAAGATTTAAATGATTCAGAACTTGTCCTAAAGTCATCAATTGACATTAATAACAGAGGAAAAAACTTGATTCTTCCCAGAAGAAAAGAGAAAATTAAAAATTGATAAGTAATGGCCTATAAATGTAAACGCTAAAAAAAATACATACTTCCAAATATTTTCTCCATAGACTTGACCACCACCTGAGTCAACCTGGTTGCGGGGATTTTTGACAGTTGAAAACAGTCATCGGCTATAATAACCTGCCTAGGCTTCCGAGGCTCACAATGAGGAAGCTGGAGAACCACATGCCCCACACGACGTAGTATACTAACATCCTTTGCAAACCATCCTGCAAACCCAAAATAAAGGACTAGCGACTATGGACAGCAACATGTTTCAATCAGTATCAAAGCAAAACCTGAAGACAAATGAACTTGCACAAAGACAAGTTGTTGGACATAGTACAAGGAATACTACGTTTAATGCCAATGAATTGGATCTGCCCATATTACTAACGGAAGAGTGATTCGATCTGAAGTATCCTACAGGTTCTCGCTTGGCAGTGGTACTGTTTTAGGATATAAGTTACTTACATTAATCTCTTACGCAGTTTATTCTGCAAGTAGCTAATACAAAGTTACTACTTGTGTGCATTGTACATTGATAGAATGCTCTTTAATTTTAAACAAATAAGAGTTTACAGTTTAAGTTTTCTTAATCATAAATCTCAGATATATTAGAGAGCTGCTAGAACACCTGCAATATTCCTGGACAAATTCTTATTCAGAATATTGGGAAAACATGTTAACAGTGTCACCCCTATGCCTGGCCGAATCTTAGCTGAATTGTTTGATGTATTTAACAAAAATGCCGGTTCCAAACCTGAACTATAACTGAAAGCACAGCAAAAGGACATTTGTTGCTGATGGAGAACAGTATCAAACAGAGTTTTATCTCTATTGCAGCAATGTATCCTAGAATGCATGCTTTGATGCACATGTTGTGCCTTGTGCAATACCTGTTGAATATGTTCTTTTGTGAACATGTGTGCAGTACCCAATACCTATTGAATAAATTATGTTAAGCAACACTTTCAGTTGTATGTCCCTCTAATTTTGTTGAATTATGGTTTCAGATTTTCTGATTTCAAACTGACTCATTCATAAACACAATAGAAAATCAATGCGTGTTAATAAATTGAACAGTACCGTGCAATTTAGAAATTAACCACATTAGAAAGCCATATCTATGTTGCTATGCAAGGATAGTGACTGCATTGACCATCTGGCAAAAATAACATGGAATAGATGTGTTTTCCATAGATCATATGCAAGACAAGAACAGGGGGTGCCAACGTTACAAAATTCAACGCATACCTGGAGCGTCTAAACTTGGTGAGACGGGAAGAACACCAATATTGGAGACAGCTGCATGTGAAGGTCGGAACCCAAAGATACCACAGAATCCTCCAGGTATTCTCACACCACCAATGGTATCCATACCTACATACACACTCAAGATGAATCATTTTCACCATTTTCTAGAAGGAAAAATAGAATAACCTTGGCTAAAGGAAAAAACATTAGACGGTTATTTTCCAATCATTTTTCACATGCTCAAACTTCAGAAAGACAAATTTTTGGACTATGGTACAGATGATCTGTACAATAGACATCCCCATTAATAGAAAATGCAACCACAGATCAATCTTGATAAAATACATCAGTGCATACCTCTGCACCAAACAAATATGAATCACAATGGTGATTTAACTATGAGATTAGAAGCATGAACTTAGCATACAAATAGATTGTCAACGACAACAAGGCCTAAATTCAAAATTTTGGGATTGACTAAAAGAAATCTTTTCTTCACGACACTTCTGTTAAGGGTCATCTCCTCATTCAAATTAACCATCAGTGCATCCTTCATGATTTTTGTCCTAGCTTGCTTAGGCACGTATAACCCTTGCTGACCCATTAAAAATAATTGCCGTAAACCATGCCAACAAATTTTGCCTAAATCCTGTCCTGGAGCAACCTCCAACTTCTTTTGTATGCACTTAAAGGAATAAGGTAGTTAAAATATTTGAACATCATAATCCCATCAAATATAAATAAAAACCTGTTTAAAGGTATCTAAATATAACTAATCGCATTGCTTTTACCGATGGTCGGATCACTATTAAGACATGCTTTAGAAGTTAGCCGCCTTCTTTGATTCACATGAATGGAGAAGATGACAGTAATTTTTGCTTCTTAGTTCATACTTCATACATGAAGACTGTATGACCCTTCTGACACAGTACATAATAGAGAACTCAGAGTAATTATGATGATGCAGCGACTCTTATTTATTAATGAAGCAGGAGACCCAAGAATTCTCATTCCTTCTAGTTCTAACGTCATAAATAAATTGCATATTTCGATAGACAAAAAATGAAAAGTGAGCATAAAAGTAGACCATTTTCATCGAAATTTAAATGCTTGGCTTGAAGATTTGGTGCATTAGCTTCATTTACTAAGAAAACATCTCATAATACATCGACACCAAAAACTTGCTTCCTGTGAAAATAATTTTGTATTAAGTACTTAAAACAAAACTCTTGATAAATATAGAAAACATATGACAATGCCACCTGTAACTGTACTGACTTTTCTGAACTTAACAACCTAATATCTCAAGGAAACAAGATCATTAAAAAACTGATGGATGATTGCCTGAAAGAAATCGCTTCAAAAGCAATGATGAAAGATTCCCCCAATGCAATAGACTACCAGAACTGTTCTGACCATTGTATGTTGTGCAGTGATGGAACAAAACCATATCAAACTAGGAATTAATGCTACAAGCATGAAGAACCAGGGGTGGGATGAAGAAGCAAGGCAAAACAAAGTAAAATTGGAGGTAAAAGTATGAGAAATGGGATACAGAGGAGGATAAAAGAAAATGGGTAACAAGGGCAGGAAAATCGACATAGGCACATAGAGGAGAGAAAAGGCACTAGAGAAGTCCAATCTACTCATTTTTGGGGTCATCTAGCTAGTTATAACCTCCTGCATATTATGTTCATCATACCTATGGTAATAATACTATGAGTTGTGATTAATACTAAAAACACAACCACACAAAACCAACCATGAAGGGGTGGGCATGCCAGAGGCTTACATTAAAGTGTGCATGCCAGAGGCTTATATTAAAGTGTGCATGGCACAGGCTTACCATATAACACAACCTTATTGTAAATCATGTTATCTTTAACCAATAATGGTAGTTAACAGCAAAATATGCTAATTCATACTTGTGATCATGTCTTAGACCGTGCAAATGAATATCGCCCGCAAGATTAGTATTTGTGAAACCCTTGGTCCTAGACTCCCAGTAGATATCAGTCTTCATGCATTGTTAAGATCTGCTTACACGTAATACCCTTATTTGTCACTTGTTCCCTGGCAGGGAATACTCTGGGAGTAGCAATGGCATTATACTTAAATCATGAATGCCAAAACATCACATATAGGTCAAACATATTGATATGCCAGTTTGCCATCAGTGGATGGTATATGATGTTCATATAGAGAAGGATCTATGAAGCACAAAATGATATATCAAAAACAGGATAAACTATATATAGACTATTAACATGGAATCACAACAAGGCCTATCAAATCCAAAATATCAGCTATCATAGAATAAGTTACTCCTATAAATACTAGCACAATCATACATAAGATTATTTAACCCATGAAATTAAAATGTGGTAGGAAATCTTTAAGTGGAAGAGCCTCTTCCGAGCAGTCTTTGTTTCTCAGGGCATGTCAACTAAACAGGAAAGAGTTCACACTATTTTGTGCAGGTTTTAGCTCCATTTTTTTAAATAAAAATACATCATAAATGTCATGTTTCGCTTATTCTAGAGCAAACTACCATTTACAAAATTTACCTGAGCTGCTGATTATCAGCATACAAACCCTTCCCCACCCCCCTGACCCAAGAAGGAAAAGATCTCCAGACAACACTATAGCAGGAGTTCCACTTGCACAAAGAGTGTAACACGTGCACATAAATACACTGTGCAGGTGAAATATATGTACATGGACACACATTCGCACAAATCCCATAGATAAATGCCATACACGTAGGTATACACACTCAAAATTCAAAGATACACAAATCAGTTGAAACTGAAGCTCTATATATGAAGAAATCAGACCTTGCATACTTCCTACTGATATAAGCAACAGCAAACAAGAACACACAGCCCTCATCCAAATTTACAAATTTTAATGTTTTAGTTGATGCCGGTACATATTGATACTTTTATGAGCTTCATCACCAAGAATTCATGCCAGAAAGAGTACTATGGAAGCTGCTTTAGATCTAGGTATGCATTGCACAAGCTTTTTGACCCAAAAAAATTATAGATTCTTTAAAACTATGGAGAAACAGTAACAATATGTAGTATTAAATTGCAAACAACAAGTTTCATTATGTAAGTTCCTCCCGTAATGATTATTGAAATTACACAAACATACATCAGGAAAGGTTGGATTCGGTGGGAAAACAATTGAATTACAAAACAGTAACTCACCCAATGAAAAATCTACTAGACCACCAGCAACAGCAGCAGCTGATCCACTTGAACATCCTCCAGGAACTCGGTCCGGAGCCGCAGGATTTGTCGGTGCTCCAAAATGTTTATTTTCACCAATAATGCTGAACATATTAGGGTTCAATGTAAACGTCTTAGTGATGAAACAAATATTTATGGAAAAAACAGAAAGCATGATTATTATGCCTCAAAACATACATGAGAGGTAATAGGAACATTACCATTATAACGGAAAAGGTTACAAGAAACTGACAGCAGTTTACGTAGCAATATTATTAACTCTATCAAAATGAAAAAAGATGTGGTTATTTAGCACAGAGCAATAAGTGTCACCTGGAGGCCATGTCATCAATGACAGTCTTTCCAACACAAGTAGCACCATTTTCTATGAGTATAGAAACCACTGGGGATGTTCGTGAGGCAGGTTCATGTGTTCTAGCCCAGTCTGGATTGCCAAACCCGGTTATATATCCATCGATATCAAATCTGATAAAAGTGAAGCCAATTTATAAGTCTAGGAAAACTACAATATAGAAGCAAACATAGGTCGCATGAATACAGTACACGCAGCAAGAATTCTACCTTAGATCATAGGAATAACCTTTCAAAGAACATAATACAACAAAATGAAGACAATGCATAAACTATGTAAATACATAAATCTTAATCCCCCTAAGATTATGATTAACAGAAGACAGCTAGTTTCATTGGTTTACATAAAGGGGCTCTTCTTAGCTTCAAACACATTCATCCTATATCAAATATCAAGCTGCCAGATGTTGCAGATAATAAGATTAATGATTGTCAGTACTAGAACATTTTGTTGTAACTGATGTTTTTGGTACTTGACAAGGTTGTTGATAGCGGATCGCGTCGCGGCGCGGCGAGGTACCGCTAAGGCTATTGCGCGCTATTGCGGTGAAATAGCGGCAAATAGCGCACAGTCAAATAGCGGTCAAATATATATATATTTAAATGTTCTAAATAATAAGAAAAATCATATAAAAATCAAAAATTCTACAAATGCATACTTGATGCCTAAACATGAACTAGATGTGTAATAATTACATAATATTAACAAAGTACTATAATTATAAAGATTAAAGAATAAAAAACGCATCTGTTTATCAAAAAGACTGTTATTTGTCTCATTTCTTCACATTTCAAGTCTTAATATAAAAAATGCTCAACAATAAAAAAACATAGATTAGTAACAAAATCATTTATGAGTCTGACAAGTATTTTGATTGTTACTTTAATTTTCTGATGATGTATCTTATTAAAATTTAAAAATAACATTCAAACAAAAGTCATGTATCACATCTTCGTTTAAGTGGGCTAACAAAGCCACTTAGACATACGTCACATACAATTCACTAGCTCCCCTTTTGTCGGCCAAATTGGGGCAATGATCAACGGCAAGGCAGTTGATTTTGCGGTTGATACTATTTTAATTTAAGGACAGACTTTAGCGTGGAAGGGAATAGATTTTGAGACTATATATCTGAGCAGCAAACACTGTTATTGTTTAAGTGGACTGAAGCCGCTACCCAATAGAGACGAAGCTGACGAAGGCGCTGTTGGCTTGACCGGAGACTGGAGAGACAGTGAACGAGAGACGACTTGACCGGAGGAAGTGAGAGAGAGAGAAAGGCGAGTTGTCGCTGTTGGTGCGGGAGTCGGCGCCAGAGTCGTCGTCGGAAGCGCTGTTGACGGCGCTGGAAGTCGTCGCCGGCAGTGGCGTTGACGGCGCTGGAAATCGTCGAGAGAAGCAGGGTGTCGGGAGTCGAGAGAGGCTAGAGAGGCGGCTAGGGCAAAGAGGTGAGGATTTTATGGTAAGCGGTACGGGTCGGGTTCGGGTTGGGCATAATCTGTAGCGAAATTAACCCGCTTTTTCACCGCTCTTGAGCGCTACAGCGCGCAATCGACCGCTATTCGAGAGAATAGCGGTTTTCTCCGCCTAACCCAGCCGCAAACCCCTTAAGCGGGGCGGTGAAGGTCCGCGACCGCCAAAGGCGGCGCTATAGCGCCGCTATCCGCCGCTTTTTACAACAGTGGTACTTGATGAAGTGATGTCTTAGTATCAAGACCAAGATTAGTAATGAAGAGTCTGATAGTGATAGAAGTGCTAGGAAGTGATGAGGTAAAGCTCCTCTTATAAATTGAAGACAATGCATAAACTATGTAAATACATAAATCTTAATCCCCCTAAGATTATGATTAACAGAAGACAGCTAGTTTCATTGGTTTACATAAAGGGGCTCTTCTTAGCTTCAAACACATTCATCCTATATCAAATATCAAGCTGCCAGATGTTGCAGATAATAAGATTAATGATTGTCAGTACTAGCATTCATCCTATATCAAATATCAAGCTGCCAGATGTTGCAGATAATAAGATTAATGATTGTCAGTACTAGAACATTTTGTTGTAACTGATGTTTTTTTGCAGATAATAAGATTAATGATTGTCAGTACTAGAACATTTTGTTGTAACTGATGTTTTTGGTACTTGATGAAGTGATGTCTTAGTATCAAGACCAAGATTAGTAATGAAGAGGCTGATAGTGATAGAAGTGCTAGGAAGTGACGAGGTAAAGCTCCTCTTATAAATTGAAGGAAGATGCAGAGCAAAAGAAGATAAAAGTTACAAGATAATTATTTTGAAATATATGCTTCATGCACCAAGAATAAAAACATGACCCCAAACCAAATAGCATACCCAATGTCTAAGCTTAGCAGTGTAGAGTTTTATGCTATAGGCCTCATAGAAATCACAGCAATGTTTAACGACACACCAAAGCAAGGATTTTTAAAGCACATGTTGATGTCAGAACAGGAAATTACTCGAAAACAATTTGTTTTTAGATTAATTTTTTAGAGAAATTGACACCAAAACAAGGTAATTCGACGTGCACGCATTCATTTCCAGCAGATAAAGAAAGTTGAAGAATGCATTAAAGATTCTGCATGTGATGCTATTTCCAAACTTCTAGAACTTCCATCCTGCAACAACTTCCCACACAACAAAACACAACTCAGTGTCTCTCAAAAAATTTATCCCCAGTGATAAATTCAGTCAGAACAAAAGCCTTCAAACACAATCACACACCAATCTGATATTTGAACTAATTCACAGGGCTCTCAGCAGCTACACAAGGTAAGATTTGATACCAGCTATAACAAATCATAAATCTCCAAAAATTAGTAAAGAATCAGACATTTCAAGAAACCAAACAATCTGTTGTCAAATTTTTAACAAATAATACGAAACTATACAAGAAACGGGGAAGTCTAGGTCACTTACACGTCGGCGACGGCGAAAGTGAGGCCAGTCAAAGGATGAGGAGCCTTCGGCGGCGGAGGCGGAGGCGGCGGAAGAATCTCGAATCTCTGCACAAAAGCCCCCAAATCCTGCTTCACCGCTCGCTTCAGCTTGCGGGTCATCAGCACGATACCCGCTATACCTAAACTCAGCAGAACTATTATGTTCGCCGATGAAGACGACATCTTTTTTATCTGGAAAAAAAAAATTCTCTCTATTTTGATTCTAGGGTTTTGGTTTTGTGCAGCAGGGGTTGGGATTGAGGAGGAGAAAAGAGAGGCGTGTTTCTAGAGATAAACCCCTCAAGAGGCCCCTAGAAAAAGCTGAGGCGTTTAGGTATATATATACTGCTACCTGTACGACTTCGGTTTCTTACGAGTAACAATCCTAGGTTTTATTTTGCAAGAGTTAATGAATAAAAATTATTTTGTGACTGGGATTTGTAAAAAAAACAATAGTTAGCTGAGTGTATGTTTGGTAAATGGGGTAAACTAGTTTTTAGTTGAGACAAAATGAGTCCCTGTGCTTAGCTCTTAGTTGGCAAATGAAGAAGATAGAAAAAAAAAAAAAACTAGTTCTTTTAAAGTCCACTTGTGCTCCACAACTAGGGTAGAAATAAACAAGCTCTCACTTAGTTTATAAGAGTACTAGTTCAAAAAGGTTGTCTAGTTTACAAATTAGCCAAACTAGGTTTAAGTTAAAACTAGTTTAATAAAGTGTAGTTTAGAATAACCTAGGCTAATTGGAGCTAGTGCAAATCTAGTCTAAATTATTTCCAAACTTGTCAAGCGCACTATAAAGTGTAATTATTTTGAGCCTCACATTATCTTTGAACTATCACTTCAGTCTCATCTTACCATTTGTATTATTATTTTATTGGCTAAATATCCATATTTGTATTTTAATTCCACCTCATTTACCAAGAAGGTATTTTAATTAGGCAAACTTGTTTTAAGACATTTTAATTGATTCAACTTACCAACAATGTCCTTTTTCTCGTCGGCGATCAGTTTTCCGGCAAAAGCTCGTTACGTGCGTGACACATGATGACTTAAACTATTTTTTATCTGCTGATATGGTACGGATTTTCTGACGTGGCAGTGTTTAAAGGCGGGAATTAACCCTCTAAAAATCTCAATTCACCCAAAATAGGACAGATTCGTGCCACATCAACAGCTAAAACACAGTTTAAGTCATCATGTGTCACGCACGTGACGAGCTCTCGCCGGAAAACTGGTCGCCGATGAGAAAAATGGCCTTGTTGGTAAGTTGAATCAATTAAAATGCCTTAAAGCAGGTTTGCCTAATTAAAATATCTTCTTGGTAAATGTGGTGGAATTAAAGTACCAATATGGGTATTTAGCCTTATTTTATCCATTCAAAATAATCAAAATTTAATATAAGGGATGTGTTAATTTGGTATTAAAGGTGATAAGGGACGAATTTAATAGTTCAAATAGTAAGATGGGACTAAAAATAGTTTAATGAGAAATAAGGAATGAATTTAATAGTTTAAGAGATAATATGAGATTAAAAAAATTAAACGGATATGAAGGGACAAATTGACGAGCTCAAGGGGCAAGTAGGAACTGAAAACCAGTTTTCAAATTAACCCTTATGAATAGCATATAGAATACTAAAAAAATTTAAACTAACCCTTATGAATAGTATAGAACAACTAAAATTTTCAAATTAACTCTTATGAATAATATAGATATTACTGCATTTAACGAAAGTGTTCTAATAGAATTTGCATTCATTTGTTTCTTTGTCCTTCCTCAAGGGGAACTACAATTTTAGCGCACATTTAGACTATAGATATCTTAACCTTGTACATAATCACATAGAATGTTACAATTGTGGTTAATTGAGATTCACACCCCAAAATGTTAAGGATTGAGGGATTAATTATAGTTTTGCAGCTACTCTGTCATCATAATGTGATACTAGTGAAAACTAATTAGAGGGAATAGCTTTTGATCCAAATGTGCTAGTCAATAAAATAAATTATAGAGTTTGTTAAAACACAATAGTATTGTTATGGTGTTTTCATTCGCCAAGATTAGGATCCGTCATTACGCCTAATTCGACCGACTCGACACTTGGAATAGCCAAAGTCTTGATTCACTCAACTCACCGAGTTGACATCTCACGAAAGCTAACTCGAAAGGCGGCACCTCTAGGCACACATTCATACAAGACAAAAGACGACTACGACCTCGAGCCCCCTGCCTGACAACACGTCGATATCTCGTTAAATGCATGATAGATGCCATCATTCCTCCATCCCTAACATTATTTATGGCACATCGGACCATGCCGGTTTCGCATGTCGCCTATCCGATCTCATTAAAATGCCGAAGTGACCACGCCCACTCCACGTCCGACACCTGTAAAGTCGAAGTTGACCCACCCGCTAGCCCTGACTCGGACGAAGAGATCAAAATGTCCTTCCTTCTTTGCCATAAAAGGGGAAAGTATTTCTCAGCATAAAGATAAGCAAATTTCTCGATATTTCTCTTCATTCCACTGCACTTAAGAACAGCTATAGTTCGCCACTTTTCCACTCAATTAACTAGCTAATTTGATCGTCAGAGGAACAACGGAGGAACCATACCCTGCCCTCTCAAGCGTTGGTGCACGTGCATGGAAGAATAGCTCTACTCAAAGTAGATATTCGGAGAAATTAGCGGCCCCTGGTCAACCTTTTTTCGACTAATTTAGTCGTGTGATTATCTAACATCAACAATTATATTTGAATATTTCCAAAAGTCATAACATCTAATAAATATTATATATTACATGTGTTTAGAATAAAAATTGAATACAATTCACTTTTTTTCACAAGTAAAGGTATCTCATGACCTAGCGAATAAGTAACCATCAAACTTAATTGTAACTCTAATAAATATTATAGGTGTAATGTTATATTTGAATATTGTAATATTCAAATTTCATTGCAGTTGAATTTTTATATACTCGAAGAGACTTTAAGGCAAATCAGACATCATCTCCATGTGTAAAATGGATAACAAAATATTTTTTTTTTGAGAGAGAAATAAAATAAATGGTTTTAGGTGTACTATTAGAATTTTCTTTTACAAAAACTACAATTTTATGCATACCCAAAAAAAATCCCTAATCACCCTCTAATTGCAATTTGCTTAACTTATCCACCCGTAATGCCCCAAGTTACCTCATTAGAGTAGCTCCAACCATTGACTGCATTTTGCAGTCCCCACTGAAGCATATTCTAAGGAATATGCCAAAATAGAGCTTTGCAACTCCAAGCACACTCCTCCATTTCCAACTCTATTTTAATTTCTCTCAATCTAACAATTTTTTTACTTATTTTAAAAATATAAAAATATTAACTAATAATTAAATAGGACATAAATGGAATATCTAAAAGTAGTTAGTTAGTTTGAAGGGTAAAATGTTGAAGACATATGGATGAACGATGCCGAACGGTTCCAACAATTCCTGATCCGGCATAAGAAATTCAAAGATAAAGAAGCACACTTCGCACTTCGAAATGCATTAATTGAATATTTGTGGGAGAGACACGGCAATGAAGTGATGTAACTTTTTTATTAAAGTTTCGATGTAATTCTAAGTTAATGTGTTTTATTTCTGTTTAATTTACAATGTATTATTGTAAAACCCTGGAATTTTATAATGAAATGGTGTGAATAAATGGTAATAAATCTTTCTTTGGTGATAAATAACCATATATATATATGACTAGTTGGATTGCACGTGCCATGCACGTGGTAAATTTTTAAATTTATTATTTTATTATTGATTCATTTCATTATGATTTATTTAATTTAATCCATGTTTCAAACAAATAATCCTTATTACAACATAAATAATCCTGAAAGTAGAAACCCCTGTAGTTTTTAAACAAATGTCTGTAGAAGTATAATAGTAGGTTTTAGACGGTGAACATAACCAAACAAGAAATGCAAATAAGTTCACTGTTATCACGTTTCATAAAATAAGGCGTTTTGAGATGAGCACCCAGCCGAAAGCAAACACATGTAATCAATAATTCATAAAACATTGGCAATCCGTTTTTTTAGAGGAATACATTCACAACTAAACCAAGAGCACTCCCTGCCAACAAGAAGATAATCTTAGAGATTAGATAACACCAATACATCCACACAGATTGTGAAAATATCAGATACATACTTGGCACATAATTTCCAAGAGCAATGATAGCTTCATAGAAATAATTGAAAGAGAAGTTTCACTTGTTTGGTATCCTAATGAAGTATTTTTCAGAGGCTTGCCATTACCAAAAACCAAATGATGAAGTCATTCCCTCATGATAGCAAATAGAAGAAACTAAATCTAAAATGAAACATTTTTGGTACCTTGATGTAGGCCAGAGCTATATATATCATGCCGACCTCGCTTGTGATGCTAGGAGGGTATAAGATCAAAAAGGTGCTGTATTTGAAATTATATACTCACATTTAAATTACATGAACACATGTAAACAAGTAGGATTATGTCAAATGCAGCAAACAATTACCTTAGCCATAAAAGCCAGGATGGTGCAGATCCAAACACATACTATACGACTAAAAATATTGTATTCTTGTGATTCAACAAATTGCATAACCTAGAAAAAAAATCTGACAGGCATAAAAAACTCTAGTTTCTGCCAAAAAATTAAAATAAAATAAACAAAACAATCTCTGTTTAACAGCTTGACTAAAATATCATATCTTTGAGATTGCAATTGCTTCAGCCAGTCCTGGGGGAGGTGAGTCCAGTAACTCTCCTAGTTTGAATTCTCCTAGCTTAACCGTAACAAACTAAAATGTAAGTAAAACACAAGAAACATATGCAAAAACCTCACCATATAGCAAATCAGTCTGCCAACGAATAAATTCCATATGCTGGCATAGAATATAAGAAAAATGCATAACTATGAACAAGGAGATATAATTCCACTTGTATGAAAAGAATCATTGAACCTAAAACTTGAGCAAATCGCACACTTAAGAAGGCATTCCCTAAAGTAACTTTCAGCTTATTATAGAGAAAGCAAGGTGCCAAAAACTGTAAACCTTATGCGAGAAAGTATTAGAATAAATAGTACTCTTGAGGACTTTAATAGACAACCAAAAAAATAAATTTCTTTCAGTCATTGTTGCAATCTATTATGTCATTAGATTCTACCTGGTCAGCAAGCATTCCAAAATCTCATTATATGATTGCTCAGATTTAGGTTCCCGGTCATTTTTGTAAACAACACCTCTCAAAAGGAAACTTCATAAAAAAGATCAAACACTATTATGGGTGACACGCCAAACTAAATCTTCATAAATGAGAGTAATGAGTGCTGCCCAGATGAAATTGTCACTGTATCAAAGCAATAATTCAATAAAAAATCATCATATCTTCATTACATTGTTTAACTTGTCATGTGTTTTTCTCAAAAGAAAATAAATGGTGCGATCGTGATGAGTAATTGAGTATATCAATAACAGCAAGAACAAATACTTGCATAGAGTGAAGGAAGAAGTTTTTCCTTGAATGCAATGTCTCTAGGGGCCATGGCCAATCCAGCACCCATTGACTCATAAAAATCACATTTAAACCTTGAATGCAATGTCTCTAGGGGCCATGGCCAATCCAGCACCCATTGACTCATAAAAATCACATTTAAGTCATCCAGACAACAAAATTGGTAACTGTTAATCCAGCACCCATTGACTCATAAAAATCACATTTAAGTCATCCAGACAACAAAATTGGTAACTGTTCTTGCCTGAATTAATCACCTCAGCTACTTCTCTCAGAAATCTAGCTTCTTTGTAACTTCTTCTTTCCAAGCCATCCTGAAAAATAGTTTAAAGCATTTAAAAGTCACGCTTTGAAATTTAATTATGGGCAAATAGCAATCAATTGGAAATGTCAGTTGATCAACCTTAGCCAGCTTTAGAACATCTTCAGCAACATGTCTTAACAAGCCATCCCGAAATGGCGTCTTTAAGCCAATCATTGGTACCTATTGACTCTAATGATCAATTTCTCAATAACTGATGACATTCAACGCGTATAGCACAAATATTTAAAATATAAAGGCACCCACATAAATCAGACAGTAGTAAGTTGTGTGCAATCTCAAGCAATATGTTTAAATAAAACTTCTTCCTTCACGCTATGCAAGTATTTGTTCTATGTTGATTGCACGTGCAATGCACGTGGTTTTTTCTAAATTTATAATTTTATTTATATAGTTTTGTTATTAAATTATGGAATGTAAGTAATGGATTAAGAACTTAAATTTTATTTACATGAGAGTAAATTATGGCTACATAAAACATAGAATATCTAAGTAAAACAACTGACAAAATATTTTTGCATCTGATTGCACTCTTAGTGTAAGTTTGCATTAATATATCATTTGATAATATCTTGCAAAGTTACTTGCAAGATAGAATATCTTTTAGTGTAAGTTTGCATTAATATATCATTTTATAATATCTTGCAAAGTTACTTGCAAAATAGAATATTTTATTGATATTGCAATTGAATGTCAATCTCATATTTGAAATTATTATATATGAAGTAAATATGAAATTTTCTATGTGTTGTAATGAACAATTCCAGCAAGGGGAAAAACAGTGGAAAAAATTGTTCAATGCAAATTATTGAAGTTTTTTTTTCACAATCATCCAACATATGCAAACAAATTTCTATAAGACAAATAACCTTTTCTCTCATTCTTATTCATTTGCATTAGATGCAGGGTGCAATTTTCACATCAATACTACAGCAAAGTTGTTTCGGGGGGTGGTATCCTTGGTCATCAAGAGATGCTGCAGCCAATCGTTCAGATTATTCTGCCTCTGAGGCATTGTGAAATTATGATATTTTGTTGTAGATAAAATAGCCTCCACATTCCCAGGTTGAGAGGTGGCTTCCAGCCGCTGGAAGATGAACGTACATCACAATCATGGCCCAACAGTTTATCCTTTTTTGGTTAAAATTAGCATAATATGGTCAATTAATTAATGAACAGTCATTTGAAACCATGATGGAAGGCCGTGTTTTGGGGGGGTGTTCGAAAGGGGGGGTTGCTTCATCTCCATCGGTATATGACCTGAAGACCAATCTGTGTCGTCCTACATCGAGCATAATTGGATACAGGTAAGCAAAAAACACGCACAAGTGGAAAATATCTGGAGTTAAAGCCATAATACAAATCACAAATAACTCAAACAACACAGATTGAAGTAAAGAAAAGCAAGATGCACATAAAGATTAAATTTAACCAAAACTTGAACCCAGTTCAAGAAGATTAAAATCAAGAAACCACCAAAAAGTAAGAAGGCTATCATAAATTAAATAGAATGTATAGATAAGAAACAAACAATGTATTTCATGTAACGGAAAATGCCAGTACGTATATCAGTCAATCACAGTACCTGCACGGTTTCGTCATATGAGAATGAAGGACCATTCTTCATCTTCTTCTCTAAAAAGTTAATTGCTTATTGCTCTTTCAAACCAGCACTTGTGGCCTGGAAACAAAATTGATTTTCAGGTCAGCAATGGTGATTTTTTATTCCCCTTTTTTCTTTAATTTGAATCGACTGTCCCATTTGAACATGTAACAAGACCAAGTCCACGATACCCGATAAGAGAAACCAGAAGCTATTAGTGAATACAACAAACAACAAAAAGAAAAAACAGGTCTCACAACATTAATTTGTGCAAATAACTTAATAAAACATGAATTAGTGTTAGGAAAGATGTCAGAAACAGAAGGCTATGATAAAGGCATAAGATAAATTATTTTTTCTTTGCTAATCTTCCAACTATCATACGAAGATGTGTGCATGGTTGTGGTCGTGAACACGTACGCTGTCTCTTGTATGCTCCTAGTCATTTGGGAATGACATTAGTGAAATTGGACCAGAAGCTGGCCAAATCTCCGCTAAAGATGCAGTTCAGATGATGAAGATATTATAAAATATAGTTCTCTCAACTACATCTACGTCATGTACTCAACAAACATATGGCTCGTGCCATGAACGTCTCTAGCTGCAACCAAGTGTTGTCACCCTAAGTTTCAAGCTATTTATCTTATAAGAGACCAGATGACAGCAGGACAAAAGTGAAAAGTTTTCAATATTACCTTGTGAAAAAAAAATGACCAGCTGGATCACATTTGAATAGTTGAGGTCCATTTTCTTCATCAATACCCAATATCATGGCAGCTACCAACAGAAAGTAGGAAAAGCGATAGGTGAAAGAAAAAAGCATAACCAGTGGAATATATGAAGTAATTAATATAAAAGAGAAGGGAGAGATATAGAATGTAGTCTAAACTGACCACCAATGAGGCCAAACAATGTTGCAGTATGAAATATAATTTAGTAAAAAAAAGGGAAAAGAAATAAATGCAACTGACCCACTCCGAGAGGTCTCATGTAAGCATGTTGAGTGTATATTTGGGATTTATCTGCAATCCTACACAAAATTTGGAGAGTATGTAATCAATTAGATTGCGTCCCAAGCACTGTAGATTTCCAGAGCATGTGCCAATAACTTTTAGCCAAATCAACGAATAAAACAAATTAGAAGAATTAGTAAATTCATCTCACTAATAAAGCAAATAGACTGTACCATGAAAGTAGTGAGATAAATGTATCCTAAATTACCAACATCTAGAATAAATGGAGAGAGACTTCATTTATTTGCAGTAAAAGTGCATATAAATAAGTAATGAAATAGTAAAAAATAGAAAGGTAGGCGAGGAAAATGCCAAAGGAATATGTTTTCTACATGCATCCAGAGGGGGGTGAAGAGAGTTTCTCCCCCATTGAAGCCGAGCTGCGGTTGCAGTGATCTATCGTCGGGGTTTGATAGGGATCAACTATCCATTGTGATTTTTAGACAGCCTACTACAGTGACGGAGGTAGCGGTGGTGTTGGAGGTTTCGAGTGAGGTTAGAGAGAGGGTGGAAGAGGAGATGGGTTTGTAGAAAGAGGAGTAGATCTAGAGAAGATCTAGAGAAGAAGAAGAGGGTAGTCTGGGAATTTTTTTGTCTTGGAAATTGCAAATGGGGCTGATTCACATGGATTTTTCATTTTAGGGGAAAAAGCACATTTGAAAAAGTTCAAGGGGCTAGGACACATCAACAATTTAGTTTTGGGGCCTTGAAGCAATTTTTCCTTTTATTTGTCCAGCATTTATATGATGTCCAACACTTTGTAGTAGTTCTTTGAAAGCCTCTTCTAAAGTTTTCTAAGTATATAAATTCAAAAATAATTTAAAATCTTGAGATTATTCAAAATATGATGCTTTAATTTTTTCCACATCTCCTCTAATATATAAATATAAGCTATCCCTCTAGCCTCATTTTATATGATGAATATTATTTATCAAAGGGATCACATACAATTGCTTGTGGTTTAAAAAGGCTTAATATCTTTATTGGCTTAACTAAATTAAATATATTATAGTTTATAAAAGTTTCAATTACATACATCCACTTGTATCTTGCTGTATTTAAATATCCTAATATTTTTTTAAATTGCATGTATGTACCTTCTATACACAATAAGACTATTTGTAATTTTCCTATATGAATATAATGGTATAATTTTAGGATAATTCTATATTTCCTACTCTTTCTATTAATAACTAGGTTGATTGCACGTGCAATGCACGTGGTTTTTTTTCTAAATTTATAATTTTATTTATATAGTTTTGTTATTAAATTATGGAATGTAAGTAATGGATTAAGAACTTAAATTTTATTTACATGAGAGTAAATTATGGCTACATAAAACATAGAATATCTAAGTAAAACAACTGACAAAATATCTTTGCATCTGATTGCACTTTTAGTGTAAGTTTGCATTAATATATCATTTGATAATATCTTGCAAAGTTACTTGCAAGATAGAATATCTTTTAGTGTAAGTTTGCATTAATATATCATTTTATAATATCTTGCAAAGTTACTTGCAAAATAGAATATCTTATTGCTATTGCAATTGAATGTCAATCTCATATTTGAAATTATTATATATGAAGTAAATATGAAATTTTCTATGTGTTGTAATGAACATTTCCAGCAAGGGGAAAAACAGTGGAAAAAATTGTTCAATGCAAATTATTGAAGCTTTTTTTTCACAATCATCCAACATATGCAAACAAATTTCTATAAGACAAATAAATTTTTCTCTCATTCTTATTCAGTTGCATTAGATGCAGGGTGCAATTTTCACATCAATACTACAGCAAAGTTGTTTCAGGGCGTGGAATCCTTGGTCATCAAGAGATGCTGCAGCCAATCGTTCAGATAATTCTGCCTCTGAGGCATTGTGAAATTATGATATTTTGTTGTAGATAAAATAGCCTCCACATTCCCAGGTTGAGAGGTGGCTTCCAGCCGCTGGAAGATGAACGTACATCACAATCATGGCCCAACAGTTTATCCTTTTTTGGTTAAAATTAGCATAATATGGTCAAAGAGGGGGGGGGGGGGTGCTTCATCTCCATCGGTATATGAGAATAATAGTGAAAGACCTTTTGTAAGATTAAAGGCTATTATGTTTGTAATGTGTCAAAATTAATTATTGGCAACATCACATACATCTTGAATTTCATTACAAACATATTGTTTCTTCACTAAACAGTTATTTATCAATAATATTCACACTGTGAGGACTCTGACATATGAAATTCGCCATGAATAATACTCGGAGTAGCAAGTGATCAATCTTGTAAATGCTATAATATGATTCCAATTTACAGATCTATATTGGAACATGTTGACCACGATGTCCAATAAATTTTACTATTAGAAAGAAGTTTCACAACCTAAACTCGCTTAAATATGATTTGTCTCAGCTATAAGTCAGGTCCTTACATTTATCTCACTATTTTCCTTATCCCTCGTATTATCTTTTTTGAATATTTTGGTTAGCTGTATAAGCTGGGCTTCATGGATGTATGATCAGTCCCTTAGATGTATTTAGCCAGAAATTTAGCACCAACTTAGAGTGGTTGAAGTCAATGACAATTTGTAATTTTCATGGAGCCCTATTCAACATCACATTAGTTCATTTGGTAAAGCAATGAAAAGAGAAGCATTATAGAATTTTCCAAGTCACAAGTTCACTGGGAAGATAAGGCACATGTTACATGCAAAAACATAACGTTAAAACCGCAAGCAATTGATCACCAAAGTTGTGCACTGTTAGACAATCCTGGAACAACCACTTTATTGCTATGTTCCTTATCTTCATTGTAAAATCAATTCCTGGCAATATGAGTGCATAGCTGAATCGATGCATCCTTTAGATTTGTCACCTCTCCCCGTAGAAGAACCCCTGACAGCAAGTAAACATAAACAAAAGGATACTTTAAAAAAACAATGTAGTATCTATACTCATACAAATGAAGGGTATAAAATGGAGAAGATATAAGTGAGTATTTGCACATGGAAACTTTCTTATCATTCAAAGGAGATGCCAGCAACAAAAGAATGATACATAGTTCAAAAGGAAAGAAACAAGTTTGACATTCCTTAATATTTGGCTGCTGAGGACCTAGCTTCAGAACATAAATGGCAAGGAGCCCATAGTTCCTTCCTGGATGTAGTGCTTGTTGCTCATCAATAGTCTTTAACGTCATCTTGATAAATTTTCACTCAAATGGTGATGCATATATAGGGCTCAGCTACCAGATACATAATTACACCTATGTTGTAATTCATATAAACAATAAATCCTAGGTATAAGTAATGCTTCCATTAACTCCACAACATTAAGGCAGTTTGTTTTAGACATAGGGGAAAGCTATAGTTCTAGCACAAGTAATTTAATACTGGCAATCAAATTCTCTAAAATTTTAGATTGTTCATAGATAATGAATTATCCTGCTATCACTACAACAAAATACAACATTGCCGACGAAACAAAAACGTCGGCAAAAGTTTAAAAAACGTCGGGAAAAAGCTTTCCTGACGCAAAATGCAGCGTCGCTAACGCGTCGCCAAAAGTGTGTCAAGGAAAGTATTTGGCGACACAAATACACTGCGTCGCCAAAAGTACACTTTTGGCGACGCATCATCCGTCGGGAAAAGTATATCTTTTAACGACGCATAATATTTTGCGTCAGCAAAAGTATACTTTTGGCGACGCATGCAGCGTCGGCAAAAGCTATGCGTTGGCAAAAGTATAGCTTTTAGCGACGCAAAATTGTTCGTCGCTAAAAACTATACTTTTGGCGACGCAAGTTAGCGTCGGCAAAAGTGCAGCTTTTAGCGACGCAGAGTGAAGCGTCGCTAAAAGCTATACTTTTGGCGACGCTAACTTGCGTCGCCAAAAGCTATACTTTTGCCAACGCAAGATAGCGTTGGCAAAAGTATAATTTTTGGCAAAGCATATTATGCGTCGGTAAAAAGTATAATTTTTTCGATACTAATTTGCATCGCCAAAAGTAATATCTTTTCTGTCAACTATAAGCCTATACTGAACTTGAACATATCCAAAAAAAAATTGCTCTCATTCACATCAACAAAGAAACCAAACATCAAATTATACTTCAAACAAGTTGCATATTATGATAAACAAAGAATTTGCTCCCATTGCAAAATAATTACATTCATTTCCATTTCTAAGTCAACACTCAAAGGCTTGTTTAAATATTCCAGTTTGACATATTCAGTGTTTTCCATGTCAGAGAATGACACATTATAAGATTTACATGAAACTAAACTAAATTGAAAAAAAGAAAACTTGAAGTGAAAGAACGGCACGATCAATGAACCTCTTCACAGATGAAGGTATATTCTCTAGTAGAGTTTTTGCGACTCTGTCTAACTCATGCATTTGTTGCTTTGCAGTCAATCTATCAGAGCCACAGTACATATCCATAAGCTCTTTCATCTGTGGTAGCCTTTCCATCAGTTCTTTGATTATTTCCTGTTAGAGAAAATGCAACGTCAGATTACCAGCTACATATATATAGCTGCTCCGCATATTTCTAACTAATGGATAGGATGATGAATTCTTCACATCAAACAAAACAAGTCCGAAAAGCACAAAACAGGATCCAATCACGACAATGGAAAATTCATGTTTTGTACTTCTAACGAACCTTCACCAATTGTGCAGCAGCCGTCATGACATTTCTCCCAGTTGCCGAGCTACCAGTAAAAGCAATCTATAAGACAAAATCAATTCTTCCCACCAAACAAAACTGTAAATTCAAAATAACGAAACAGGACAAGGACCGAGAACAACGATTTACCTTGTCAACATGCGGATGAAATGCCAAAGGAGCACCAGCTTCAGGCCCTAATCCTGTTACTATGTTTAAGACGCCAGCAGGCAGTCCTACTTCCATGCATGCTTCAGCAAGTTCTAAGCAAGTCTTGGTGACAAAAATGTGACAGGGAGTCCAAATTTTTCAAAAAGATAAAGTAAGCTATTCACAAGTCTTACACTGATGCAAGTTCAGAGGGTTTTAGTACAGCTGCACATCCAGCAGCCAAGGCAGGAGCAACCTTCCACGTGGCCATTAATAAAGAATAGTTCCTGCAATGAAATTAAAAAATATTAAATTCCAATGTAAGTATATGCATGAATTAAGAAAAGCAAACTTAGAGCATATACCAGGAAGTAATTAACCCAACAACTCCTATTGGTTCTCGAAGAACATAGGACTTAAAATGTAACCATAGGAAGGGAAACAGGACTTCTTTGCTTCGAGTCCAAGGCTTCAGCAAAATCTGCATAGTACTCAAAGCAGCCAGCAACATCATCCTGGACAAGGCACACAGAAGATTCACAGGTATTGACACTTGATTTAGATTGTGAAAACCAACAGACGTACTATGTCCCATGCTGCCTCATCCAGAGGCTTCCCACAATCAAGCGCCTCTAGCTTAGCCAGTTTAGACTTCCTCTCTGTTATCTGAACCCAAAGAAAGCAGAAAGGGCGCACCTCAAAAGATAGTAAACAATTCGAAGTAAAAGAAAAAAAAGATCCACTTTTAATAGGAAGTAAACAATGGGAAGTAAACAAGTAGAAATAAAACATCCTTACTGCAGATACTGCCTACAATATTTTAAACAAAATCAAATTGAATACACACATATTGACGAAAAAACCATCTTTTTTAGACATAGTATTACATGACTTCGGTTATGTTGTTCATCAAAATATGAATGTGATTTTGTATTGAAAATCATATCATTGCCTTCTTTATGACAGGCTGTTGATGCCAAGTCAAAAGGCAAACATAAAAATTTTTCTAACCATCACTGGAACCTTGTGCTCCATAGGTGACCACATATTTTGAGGAATGGTTTAGATAAAGCTGTTGATAAACCAATTTTGTATTGATAGTCAGCACTGGTGAGATATTAGTGCCTCTTAACGAATAAGATGTTTATATTAGTTACATTTACAAATTACAGGATAAGGAAACTCAGCTAAAGTTAATTCTACAAAGTAATCAACTTGAGTTTTCCTTTATTAGTTTACTGAGATAAAGACAGTTCCCCATGTAATGTACAGGGAAACAAAATGCAGCGCATGTCCTTTATTAGTTTACTGAGATAAAGACAGTTCCCCATGTAATGTACAGGGAAACAAAATGCAGCGCATAGCTATTTTCAATTGAAAAAAAGCCCAATAGTTCCCCATGTAATGTACAGGGAAACAAAATGCAGCGCATAGCTATTTTCAATTGAAAAAAAGCCCAATACCTTATATTTGCTGCTCTTTAGAGAAGATCTACCTGTCAATATTTTGATTAAAGCTTCTATGAGCATCCAAGTAAACAACCAGAATTTACTCTTTAAGTTTCTCCCAAGGAGATATCAAAGACCTGAGATCCATAACCATCACTACACCAATCAATGAAAAAAAATTGAAAAACAGGAACATTTAAATCTCTACCTTAGCAGCAATTGCCCGGAGATACTTAGCACGAAAAGCTCCCGTAGCACGAGCCCATTCCTTATCGCCTTTCCTCTTCAACGCTATCCTCGCCGCCTCCACCGCAAGATTCACATCCTCCTCAGTCGCTGCCGGTATATCTCCTGCAATCAAACGAAAACAACAACCCCAACCGAGAGCCTCTCAGAATTACAGTCCGAGTACGCGGTCCGGGCTGCTATGATGGCTGGTCGCAGGGCTGAGCTTGCTCAGAAGCGGAGAAAAGGGCACACCAAATCTCTTCTCACAGACGAGGAAGAGCTCCTCCCTACGGGTGACGATGATGGGACCTCCGGGGAAGAATATGTGGATGCAGATACCGACAGAGGGGATCTCGATACTGGTTTGTCCTGCCTCTTTGATTTCGAAAACAACAACCCCAACCGTCAAGAAACCCCTAAACTTAACTAAATAACACAGGAAAAGAAAAAAAAAAAGGAAGGGCTTCCGTCAAGACCCCAACTTCACGGTCTTCATTCTCTACTTAATTTTATTGAAGACGCTTTTCTTTTCAAATTCTTTCCTAATTTCCCCTGAATCTTCATATTTCCAAGAGCTAATCATACTACGATAACAACTATGGCCAGAACCCAAGCAAAAATATGCTTTTCTATACAAAGACAGTGACAAGCCTATAAATTCAAAGGCAGATCATGAGTATGACCCTTTTGTTGAAATAAAATGTCCTTCAACCTTAGTGACCAGTAAAGAAACAAGATCTCCGCCCACTTCACCACCTTTTACATGGTGAAAATCTGATTCTAATCAGAAAAGAATTAGTAATCCATTAGCCTAACCCATGTATAGACAAAGCATTAACAGTAAGTGGACATATCATTTAAAGGAAACTAAAGAACAAAAAGAAGAAAAGTATAGAAATGTTGCAGCTAAATACCGGTAAGGAATCATGAAGTTTGGTGCAACACCAGGCCGAAACCCTGGAACAGGTTGGGGTGGAACTAGACCAGTCGTTCCCTGACCATAATACAAGTGTTGTGGCGCAAGCCTTGGCGCACCAGGATGATAGCCCATAGTTGGCATTGCTGGGCTCAGAGGCCCAGGAGATCTAACCTGAGCAAATTATGCCTGCAAAACAAAAATGCAAAGCATCATGAAGAGGTTACGAAAGCACAAAGGGAAAACAAGCAATAAAAATTATTCAACAACGAAGTCGACAACGCCGATCAAAACCCTAATTTTGCTTTAAAAAGGGGCAAAAATCGAACCGATGGTGGCAATCATGCAATACAATTTTGCTTCAACCTAATTATAGAACATTAGACCAAGAAGCAATCATTAAATACAATTTTGCAATACAATTATACCAAGAAGCAATCATGCAATACAATTTTGCTTCAATACAATTATAGAACATTAGACCAAGAAGCAATCATGCAATACAATTTTGCTTCAACCTCCTCACCCCTAAAATAATGCAAGTAAATTCTAGTCATTCTAGCATATTGCTACCAAATTGGTCAAAATTCTCCATCATATATAAAACATTATAGCAACAAGCAACCATGCAATAAAACTTAGCATCCACCTCCTCCACCCACGAACTAATGCAACAAAACTCCCATCATTGCACCATTTTTAACTCCAAAAACTTGATTAAATTCCCTATTCTAAACTAACATGATGACGAAGCAACCATGCAGTGGAGATAAGACTAAAGCTCAAGCTCTCACCAAGCAGAGCGCTGACAAGGCCGCCCGCGCTGATATCAAGCGACCAAGATTCCTCCCCCCTTCTGACTGCCGACGGCAACCTGTTCGCCACCACCAGCAGCCTCTGCTTCATCGGTCGCCTTCCTCCGCCTCCGCCGTGCCCTTCGCCAATCACCGCCGTGGCGGGGGCGGAGCCCACATCATCACCGGGTGGGTTGGCGGCGAAGATGACTGCATCGATCTGAGACGCGCTACACGATTCCAACCCTAGCCGGGCTTCGGAATCGAGGATCGCAAGGAATCGAAAGAGACCGGAATTGATCGGAGCGGAGCGGAGCGGAAGCGGTGAGGGAAATCGCGAGGGGGACTGCGATCCTTGAAGAGTTGAGGGGGGAGAAAAAGGGATGGCGTTGGTTTGGATTTTTCACTCGATGTACTGGTTCCACTAGATTAGGATTTTAGCGAGAATATTATCATTTTAGATCGTTAAGTATAAATATCTCTATATATTACCTAGTAGTTCATATTTTGATATTTGTATAATTTCCGAATTTCGAGGACGAAATTCTTTTAAGGTGGGAAGAATGTAAAACTCCAAAATTTTATAATGAAATGGTGTGAATAAATAGTAATAAATCTTTCTTTGGTGATAAATAACCATATATATATATGATGTATATATTTTTACCAGGGTTTGGGAACCCAGCAGGTGTATACAAGTGAGAGAAATCGAGTGGTATATGGCCAGCAGGTGAAATGCCTACAGAAGGCATTTCTGTGCTGAGCGGTCGACCGACGCGGTCGACCGTGGCGGTCGACCGGTGCGGTCGACCGACCAGCGTACAGAGAGTTTCAGGCTTTGTTTTCTTTTACGGTTCTGTTTCGGGTCTTTGGGTTTCGGGTCGGGTTTGTAAGTGGGTATATATATATGCTACTGTTCACGAGAGAGCCTCCCTCAGTATTGAAACCAAAACCCTAGCCCCCTTCCTCTCCCCTCTCAAAAAACCCTAACTAGACTTGGTGATCTTTGAGGAGTTCGGAGGAGTTGCAGTGGGAGTTTGCAGGTCAGATCGAAAGAGAACCATCTCCAGAGCAGTTGCCAACACCCAAGGCGAGTAACTTCTCGCCCAACCCCCACCCCTTTTGTTTTCATGTCAAGAACTGAGTTTCACTGGGTTTCATTGAGCCAAATTCGTATTTTTGAATAGCTAATAGAACATTATGGCATAAAGTACGAAATTAGTGTATTCTTTGTTCTTAAAATTCACCAATGGTTCCTGTTTAAAAGATCTAGATCTGAATCTAGCTTAAAAGAAGTAAAAACCTTTTTTTTATTGTTAACAATGGGTAGATCATGTATATATATATGGGATCTTGTTGACCAAGTTTTAAAGGTTTAAATTCGTGTTTTACTACTGCATAACATTTCCATAAAGATGGGTATTCGTTTTAAGATTTTTGTTTCAGGTTTTGAGCTGACAGAAACCCAGATTTGGGTTTCTGTCCGCTCGGCGGTCAACCGGTGCGGTCGACCGCTAAGCTCGTGTAGAGGCTTCGGTCGACCGCGATTTATTTTCGGTCGACCGCGACGTTCTTCCGGTCGACCACAATTTATTTCGGTCGACCGTGATTTATTTCCGGTCGACCGCGACGTTTTTCCGGTCGACCGCCAATCGCACACCAGAGTGCGGTCGACCGGTGCGGTCGACCACCGCACTATCTGTTGTGATTTTCTGTTCTGGATATTTTTGGGTATATTACTTATGTTCGGGGGTTTGCCTGGACTATCTGACCTTGATATTTAGTCTCACTATGTAATCCATGCATGATAGATGACCTGAGGGTATGATTTGGAGACTTATACACTGTTTGAGTGTAGATTGATATAAGTAGACTTCATTATATACATCACAGCGATATTTCCTCTATGCCACAGTCCTCGTGTTGGACTATAATCCATAGAAGTCCTCGTGTTGGACTATAATCCATTTCAGTCCTCGTGTTGGACTATAATCCATTTCAGTCCTCGTGTAGGATATTTGCCACTTATTCTATGAGTTGGAAACTACCTCATAAAGTTCCTGTTTCGTACATAGTTCTTAACCCTGCATATGACCTTCTTACAGAAGTTCACGACATGATTTTGACATGACATTCATGTAGACTATGATATGGTACTGCGCTTGTGTTCTGAGATTTGTTGTATTTCATTTATTATTGTTCCTGTATTAGAAACTCAGGTTTGGTGATTAGGAGCTTACAAATTTGAGATATAAGGTATATACATGAGGGTTTCCTTGTCTGGATTATTTCGCTCGACGTACCTATTCTCGTGTTGTAAAATTCTAAATACTAAAACCCTTTTTAGTAAGATCAATGATTTTAGATCTATAATATATTAACTGTATTTTCTTATACAACGAGCCCTGTTCCCTTGGGGTTGGTTGTGATGTTGCTCGCTAGCGCTTTGACGCTCGTTGTCCCTCCCCCTTTCAGGTCACGAGCCAGGAGCACGGAGAGTCGCAGGTTGATAGTGGACTACTTTAGTGTTCAGCTTTACATTTTAGCTATGTAATAATTTCTTTGGGCTCCACTGTAGTTGGTATTATACATTTGAGGACTATGCTATAGATGTTGTAAAGGCTGTACGCCTTATATCCCTCATTCAGACTTGTTGTATTTGAGGCTTGTTGAGAACCTCAGTATATTCATTTCAGACATTATTTTTGTATTATCTGCATGTTGGATGATGAAATAGCATTTTGATCCCTATTATTCCATTAGTTATCTCTTGTATTATATTTTACTTGCTTTTTGTACCTACACCTGTTATTGACTCTACTAGAGTGATAGAATTGTGATGGTGAAACATGTTTGACATTCTTGGTTTCACCAAGAACTGCAGCCTTGTGTGAACCCAGGGGCGTCACAGTTGGTATCAGAGCTCTAGTTCCAGTATCCTTAGGATCATCCTGTGTCGAGTCGTGGAGCTAGGATAGAGTTTCCTAGGATTCATGTATAGAGTCCGTAAGGATTTCCTAGTATGAGTGAGGACGATATATGTGCGTATATCTCAAAATTTGAGAATTTTTTTTTATGACAACTATTTTTGTATAAGTTTAAAGTATTAGTGCAATACTATATGTTGTGAAAATCTTATTGTGATACGCTATTTATAAAAGTCTATTTTGACTCATAGACTCTTATTTTCTTATGATCAGAGAGATGGCAGGACGTGGTAGACCCCGTACCAGGCGAGCTACCCAGGCGGAGTCACAGCAGACTCCATCAGAACAGCAACCAGCTCAGTCTGAGCCTCAGCAGGCACCACCAGAGCCGCAGCAGGCTCCTCAGTACTTGGTGGATCTTATGGCTCCTCTCATTTCCAGGATGACGGCCATTGAGGACTTGGTGACGACTCATATAGCACCACAGACACCACCACCACAGGTAGCACAGCAGCAGGGGATACCTGTCGTTCCTGTCAGAGAGAGACCCCCAGAGGTCACGCCTGCAGCCATTCACCTAGCAGTTCCAGACAGGACCACCGAGCAGGAGACTTGGCTCCGTATGGTTGAGAGGTACCAGAAGATGAGGGCACCCGAGTTCCAGGGATCACCAGACCCTCTTGCAGTCCATAAGTGGAAGGAGGACGTAGGCAACATTCTTGACATACTCAGTGTGGGCTCAGTTCAGAAGCAGAGATTGGCATCCTACAGTCTGAAGGGTGATGCCGGGAGATGGTACCGACTACAGTTTACTCCAGAGCAGAGGATGACTCTCACGTGGGAGGACTTCATATATTTCTTCGATGGACAATACATTTCTTCTGCAGCACGGACCTGGAAGGAGCTCGAGTTGTCCCGGTTGACTCAGGGGGATATGACTGTGGCAGATTTTGAGAGCAAGTTCATGGAGCTGTTGCATTTCACGGGCATGTGGCAGACAGGAGAGCGCCAGGCTCAGATGTTCTTGGCTGGGCTTCGCCCTAATCTCCGACGGTACCTCGTGTCGAGGAGATTTTATTCAGTCAGGGAGGTAGCTGAGGCTGCCACTTCTCAGGAGATTGAGACTTCTATGTTCCAGAAAGACAAGGAAGGGACAGCTAAGACCGGACCGAGTGGGTACAAGGGCAAGAACAAGAGAGGTTTTTCTGGACATCAGCAGCAGCATCAGGGCCCTTATAAAAGGGGACCCCAGCAGGAGCAGAGAGCGCACCAGCAACGCAAGTTTCAGGGATCGGTGCCCAGCAGGGCAAAGGTCCGAACCAACAGCAGCAGCAGCGCCAGCAGGGTAGAGGTCAGGGCCAGCAGAACAGGCTTGAGGCACCGCCAGCAGCTCAGAGGACTGAGGGACAGATTCGGGCAGTTCAGGATATTTCCCAGGGACAGATTATCCCATATTCTCCAGCACCATCAGCGGAGCAGTCTTCAGCCACAGACAGGGTGTATGCAGTGGTTCCTCATGATTATGGCGCCAGCGGAGCTGTAGTGGAGGGTACGTTCTTTGTGAACTCTCTTCCCGCCCGTATTCTTTTCGATTCGGGAGCTTCGCATTCATTCATCTCGCATGCATATATGACTAGACTCCAGCTCGTAGCTCAGCCCCTAGACACCCCTCTATCTGTTTCCACCCGTCTAGGTGAGGTATCGCTTCTGGAGAGTGTTTGTAGGAGGTGTACCGTCAGTCTAGACGAGTCGGAGTTCATAGTGGATTTGATAGTGTTGTACATGTCCGAGTTCGATATTATTCTTGGTATGAATTGGTTGTCTTCCTACCATATCAGTATTGACTGCTTTGCGAAGACAGTCAAGTTGCGAGCGTCCGATGGGTCCGAGATGATTGTAGCTACCTCTCAGGGCAACCGACTTGCGGAGTCATTTCTGGCGTACATCGAGGAGGCGATGCGACGGGATCAGGGTGCTGAGTTATTGGAGACTAGAGTTGTCTCAGAGTATCAGGATGTCTTTCAGGACATACCTGGACTACCTCCGGTGAGAGAGGTGGAGTTCTGTATTGAGTTGGAATAGGTATCCACTACCTAGGATTGATGACTTGTTCGACCAGTTGCAGGGAGCGTAGTATTTCTCGAAGATTGATCTTCGTTCTGGCTATCATCAGTTGCGGGTTCGG